GTGGGGAGAACCCGGAGTGCAGGGCCCGGTCACAGGGGCGGGAGTGGGGCCGGGGGAGAGCAGGAGGGTGGGGGAGGACGCTGAGCGCGACCGGGCCCTTCCTGGTGGGCAGCGCGGGGGAGGCCTGCGAGGGTTGTCGGGGTGACTGGGGCGTCAGGCTGTCCGTCAGGTGAAGAGCTGGTGGAGGGTCTGCTAGTAACGGTGTGCGTGGCAGCAGTCACGGGGAAGGTCGTCTACAGGCTGACACAGTCACAACGCGGCCTCCTGCCCAGACCCCGCTGGGTCAGGCCATGCTGCAGCCAAAACTGCAGGGAGGGGGCTGGTCCCTGCAAAGCGCCAACAGCGAGCACCCATGGCCCCGCTCGCCAGCTCCCGGCTGCACGGAGCTGCTGGCTCTGGGCCAGAGGCGGCAGAGCAAGAGGTGACCCTGCGGGGGCTGTGGGGGCTGGACTGCGTCTGGGCTGCAGGAGCCAGGCTGCTAGAAACAGTGCCACTTCCCACTAGTCTCTTTCAGTGTTTTTGCTCTGTCCAAGGGAGTGCTCAAGCACCTCCTAATTCATCAGACAAGGAATAAATGTCATGTGTGGTAACAGCAGCTGCCATCCAGAAGGAAGGTGCCTAAAGGAAGAGAGAGAATTGGAAAAGCTGACCTCACCCAGCTCCAGTTGGTGCCATTCCAAAGGCACTCACCATCCTCTGCCTCCTAACTTGCCTTTTGCTGGGGCTTTCTGGCCTGAGAAAATTGATTACAGAAGGATCAAAGGCAATTAAAGCTTGAAATCATGTTCTCCAAGAAATGCTAATTGTGTTGGAAGGGATGGTAGAAGGAATCCAAGCCCAGCAACCTGGAAGGGTGCTACATAATATGGAGTGACACATGGAGCTGCTGACTCCAGAGCCCAAGGGCTAGGCAAGCAGATGTCTGAACTCTCTGCAGGTCTCATTAAGAGCATGTAATGGGTGATAGAAGATCTGAAAATCATAACAATCAAAAGCAAAATGTTAGGATTCAACAATTGCCTCAGGATAGAGGAAGCGTCCTCCAGCCCCACAGCGATGCTGATCTCGGCACAAGCAGTGCAGATGCTGATCCGATGGAGGGGGTGAAAAACGGCATCGAATCTCCGCGGGGGCTGAGCAAAAGGCAAATGAGCAGCGGTGGTGCTGTAGCCTGGGACCCAGAGAACTTGGGAGAAGGAAGAGGCACAAGGGAAAAATCGGTGGTTCTCCTACCAGCTGCACCTGCGTGGACCTGGAGAGGGGAGTCTGCTCCTTTGGGCAGCACCGGGGCTGCAGAACAGCTGCTGGAGAAGGGGGAGGCAGATGCTTGTGGGGCCCCAGGACTGTGGGAGAGGCAGGGATATCGAAATCCAAACTGGAGGTAGCTTGCTCCCTTCTGCTCTCCTAGCACTGTTCAAGATTCAGTTATGGGAAGGATTTATTAGCTCTGTCTTTGAAGCTGCCAAGAGCCGCTTTGGAGAGGGAGTCTGAGAGACTTAATTATTTTATTATTCCTAGTGATGTTACACTACCACCAGAGTATATTGTGTTCCTAAACTTTCCTCTTGCAGCAGTATGGCTGGGTCCCTGCACACTCGGCTCGGGTTGGTTTCTGCCTTCTCTGGTGCGGTGCTCCTCAGGCTGGCGGAGCAGCCGCCTCCAGTCCATCCCACGAGGTGATGGGATGCAGCACAGGATAACATCACTGTGTGCCCGGGGCAGGTGGGCACAGGAAACCTGTGCAGGAAATGTCAGTTTGTGTAGCAAGAGGGCAACGATAGTAAAAGGTTTGGCTTGGGGCTTCAGAAAGCACATGGCACAACCTCAGGGAGACTGGGCAGGAAAACACAAGTGTGGAGATCCAAACTCATCTGTGCAGGAAAGCTGTGGATTAACATCTGCTCAGATTTCAGTGCCACCGCCTGGGAAATGCTGCTTCTCAACCTCACGACCCCAGAAATAACCTTAGCAGAAAGCTGCTGCAGAGGCAGAGACACGAGAGGCTGCAGGGCCAGGCCTGCCTGGCTTTTCCTCGCAACGACTCCGGCTGTGCCAGTACAAACAGATCTGTGCCAGGACACGCGTCCTGCAGCAGCTGCCTTGGGTCAGCTGCATGTAAAGAAACAACTGTACCAAGAGAAATTACACTGTTTTGTAGAAGGTTGCTTTGGATGCATTTTCCAGGATACATTTTACCAGATCTGGGCAAAATTTTCTTCACATCTATGGTCTGTTAAATAGACTACATTGTCTGGCGGCAGCACTGCTTTTGCTGCAGTATCTCAGAAGGGAACACAGAAGTTTGCAAGTAGCAGGGGTGTAAACACCCGGCACAGAAGTCAGGGGTGCCCAGGGAGCCAAGGGCACAGTGGGTGGGCAGCAGGGAGGCGGCTGGAGCCCTCTCGGTGCCTGGAGGGAGCTGGGCTCTGCCAGGCTGGGGTCTGGCCTTGGCGAGCAGCATCGCAGGTATGGGGGTGAAATTTCTGTGGCTCCCCTTCCCGTAGGAAGTGCTCATGTCACCCTGTTCAAGAGAGAAAGTGTAGCTTCATGTTGAAATGGTGTTTTGTAGCTGTGATTTTTGTCTCTCCCCCTGGTACCGAGTTCTGGGTTACAGAGCGAGACCTCAGCCCCTTTCTGAGCGGAGGTTTCTTGGATCAGAGCTGTCTGTCGCGCTGATGATATATTTAAGTACTGGCTGCTTTATTTTGACTTTGTGGGTTCAGTGGTGAAAATATTTCTCTTTCCCATACTCAGAGGTGTGAGGGGGCTCTGGTGCAACACGCTGTCTGAGCAGTCTCAGCTGAGCCGAGGTTCGTGCCTGCCTCTGTGACTTGCACATGGATTTCCCCTTGATTTCTAGAGACTGCTTCTAAAAATACAGCGTGCCTTGTGGCAGGTCCCTAAGAGGAGCTGAGCTGGCTGTAAAGAGAAAGGGAGTCACCAGCCCTCTGCTGCATTTCCAGAGGTGAGGAGCTGGTGTGACTCCTGCATTTCCTCAGCGCTGAAGGGGCGCGCGCATGGGCGCTGGGAGAGCTCCTGGGTGCAGCTGTTCGTCGGATCGGAGATGAGCTGAGCAGCACGTGGAGGGGCAGGGCTGCGCACGGGGATCCTCCGAGTCAGGATCCGACTGCAAGCTCAGGCTGGTTGCTTGACTGGGGTGATGGTGCTGGCGAAGGCAACCTTCCCGGCCAGGCCTTGCTCACGTCTGTCCCGTCTGTCCTGTGGCTTCATCTCTGCTGGACCCAGATGACCGAGGCTCATGTTTACCTGGGCTAGCTAGGAGTTAGTCCTGGCCTCTTGCTGAGATGATGCTATTAATGTTATTTATATCTCCCTGCTATGCTGCAGCAAGCTGAGGGAGCAGCATCAAATGAGATCTTGTTACCTTTGTGCAAATGATTAGCATTGCAATAATTCTTTCTCCTAGCTTGTCCGTGGTAGGCAATAGGCAGCTTCTCAGCGGACTCCACTGCCACACGTGCTCAGGCTCCCCGCCGCCCTGGGACTAGTGCTGCCCTGCTCCTCCAGGCAGCTCTGCCCAGTTGTCTCTGCGCTGGTGCCACGTGCTGCTCCAGGAGCCGTGGCCACGGTGGCTCGTGTCCTGCAGGACCGGGTGGTTGCCCGGGCAGAGGGTGGGTGGGCTCTGCCTCACACACAGGAGCCCGGCACAGCATGTGGTGCAGAAGGGTCGTGCTCTGGGCTGCGGGCCTGGCCCACTGGAGGCTCCTGGCGCTGCTGCTGCAGGCAGCATCTCTCTTCCGAGGCCAACGGTCCCCAGATCCACTCGCACAAGCATTTGCCTTATTGCTGTCTGCTCTGCGCTCGCTCCCGCTGCACCACGCCGTGCTTCGCTCCAGCATGCGCTGGATGGGCCTCGCCTTTGCCCCCTCGCAGGGTGGCAGCACAGGGGGTGCAGATGGCCCCAGCTCCTCCTCCTCCAGACTCCCTGACGCAGAGACCAGCCCTGCCCTCGCTCGGCTCTGCAGGGGCCGGTTGAAGCAGGGCTGGGGCAGGTGGTCTGTGCTGCTGCCGGTGGCGCGGGCAGAGCTGGGCAAGGGCTCAGCACTGGGGTCCATCCGGACTCTGCCCCAACTGCCGTTGCCCCAGCGCTGAGCAGCGGGGGGGTGATGGGCTCCATGCTCTGTCCCGGCTGCTGTGTGGCGCCTCCGGGCTCTGCCCCTGCGGCCGGTGGATCTCCCGGTGCCGCGGCTCAGCCTCTGCCTACTCCGCTGCTCCACTCCTGGCTCACCCCCTGTCCTGGCCGTGCCCCTTGTGCTCCCGTGCAGCGCCCGATCCATACAGCAATTTCCGTGGTGGCAGGCAGCCCAAGAGCCAGAATTAGAATAGATGTCTTTTCCGATCGAAAAGCTGATTGATACAGAAAGGGGCCAGTCCACCATAAATCAGGTGCAATGAGGAGAGAGTCTGTAGACAGCAGCACCTTGCTGTGAGCGGGTCAATCTACATTTTATTAGATAAAGACTGCAGACGCTCAGCAGCGACTTCTGACATCTGGCCACAATTGTTCAGCTACTCTTCAATCCCCTCCTGCCCACTCTGCTGCTGGCTGGCGGGGAGCAGCACACAGGAGCAGGGATCTGAGCTGGCTTCCAGTCCCTGTTCCTGCCCTCCCTGCTCTGGGCTGTCTGGGTGCAGCTGCTGGTCGGGTTCAGCTCTGGCACCGGGGCCCTGGAGGGTCCCGTGAAGCAGCTGCGTTAATGGGATTGTGGTGGGTTGTGCTGTGCTGCTGAGCCCCTGCAAGAGCAGGGCTTGAGCTGATGGCGAGGAGGAGGAGAGCTGGCTCAGCTGGGAGGAGCTCTGCCTGCTCCTTCAGAAGTTACAGAGGGTCCTCCTGGGGGTATTTGGCCCCCTGGCTCAGGCAGGACCCTTCACCCCCAGCTCTCAGGTTTGGAAGCAGTAACTGCTCTTGCAGACCCATCCATTCTGGTCTCTGTCAGCAACTAATTTTTATCTCGATTCCCACTCTGTGCCACTCTTAGAGGGTCTTCTGGAATGTTTTTAACCTCTCTCTGCTCCGACTGTGGTGTTTGTCAGCGCAGTTCAGACGCCTGCGTGCTGTTGCTCCTGTGCTGGGCTCGCCATGCCCTGGGCGCTGGCGGGCAAGGTGCTGGGCTGGCCCGGAGGTGCCCGGCCAAGGGGCACATGCTGGAGAGGAGCTGGTCACCTCCGGGCGCTCGGGCTGCTGGGGGCAGTGGTGCAGGGGAGCTACGACCTGGCTCCTGCTCCCCTGTGATGGAGAGGAGGGACGACCTGTCCAGTCTTTGGGCTGCTGCCAGAGCTGGTGCATGAGCAACCACTGCTCCTCGTGAGCATGGAGGAGTCCTGCTGGCTGAGCTACGGGTGTGACTTTGCTGTGGATTTCCTTGTTCCCTGCAGACAACACGGCTGCAGTGCACACACAGAGGATGGGCTTCAATCGCCAGGAGCAGGATGTGTACTTGCTCCCTATTCTGGTGGTGGACAGCGGCCCCCCGGCCCTCAGCAGCACCGGGACTCTGACCATCCGCATCTGCGGCTGCGACAGCAACGGGGCCATCCAGTCCTGCAACAGCACGGCCTACGTCGTGTCGGCTACGCTGAGCCCTGGCGCCCTCATCGCGCTGCTGGTGTGCGTCCTCATCCTGGTCGGTGAGTGCCCACCTGTCCCTCGGCCTCCTCCTGCCCTGTCCCCTGTCCCCTCTCCATCCAGCATCACAAAGACGAGCGCAGGCGGTTGCTGTGGGCACGGCACAGGCTCCTCTGCCCCTGTCCCCACGCTGGTGGCTGCAGCGTGGGGGGCAGGACGCCCAGCCCCTGCCGGGGGGACCACGGGAAGCTCCCACAGGCTCAGCAGGCTCTTACCTTGGGTGCAGGGCAGAGAGTTGTGCTCTCACCTTAGAGCTCTGGTCACATTCGAGCGTGTGTGAGCGCGTGGGCAGGCCACCGGGCTGGGGGACACGGGGCTGTGCACAGACCAGAGCGTTGCCCAGGCCGGGACCTGTGCCCTGGGGGTGCCACCGGCTGCCCCAACACTGGCACAAGCTTGTGAGGGCCGGCACGGCACGGCGAGAAGGCGCAGGGGAAGCACGGGCTGGCACGAGCCTGTGCAGGGGCTCTGGGGGAGGGATGCTGCCGTGCCTCGGGTTTACCTGGGGCAGCTGGCGGACAGCGCTGGCTCGCAGCTCTCCCTGGCGCTGCCTGCGGAAGCCAGCGCCTTGTGCAGCGAGGGCTCCTCTCCTTGGCACGTTTCCGCTCCCCATCGCCTGCTGTGTCTCCATTTAGAAAACCCTTTTCCACAGGGTGACTTTACACTGGTTTCATTTTCCAACGCAGCGCAAACAAATTTCTGCCTAATTGCCCAAATGAATAAAGTGCACATTGGTGCTTTAAAGGTGATGGGATGAAGGGATGATGATCCAGGACACAGCTGCGGCTCGTTGCTCAGGCTCTCTGCCATCTGCTCCACATTCACCATTCCAACATTTGGCTGCTGCTGTGATTCATGCACCCCCTTTTCCTACTCATCTTCGGCAGAATCCATCCATTTGTCCAGCCGGGTGTTCATCCATCTCTCCCCCCTGTCTCTGCATGTGGGGAAGGAAGCTCCTGGTCCGTGCTGGAGCCCAGGAAAACCTCTCGCCCAGGCAGTGCTGCGGCGCCACTGCTGCTGGATGGGCCTGGCTGGCAGGAACGTGCTGGCGGTCTTGGCTGTGGCGCTGCCCGCACCGAAGGGGATGGTGCCCCTGCACCCTGCTGTCCTGCACAAGCCTTGCACCCCTCTGACCATCTCTTCCTTTCCCAGTGCTCGTCCTTCTGATCCTCACGCTGAAGCGACACCACAAAAGCCACCTGACGTCTGAGGATGACGAGGACATGAGGGACAATGTCATCAAATACAATGACGAAGGGGGTGGCGAACAGGACACGGAGGCCTACGACATGTCGGCCCTGCGCAGCCTCTACGACTTCAGCGAGATCAAAGGTGGCGACGGGGGTGGGGGGCCAGGAGAAGGGGGCGCGGGCGGAAACCCGGCCTCTGAGCTCCGCGCCCTCCCGCAGTGGGTGCAGAGCCCGGACCTGGACTTCTCTGTGTTCAGGGACTACATCTGCAGGAAGGTGGAGCAGGCGGACGAGGACCTCTCTGTGCCGCCCTACGACTCGTTCCAGACCTACGCCTTCGAGGGCTCGGACTCGCCCGTGCCCTCCCTGAGCTCCATCAACACCTGGTCCAGCGGCTCGGAGCAGGACTTCTCCTACCTGGGGGGCTGGGGGCCGCGTTTCCGGCAGCTGGCAGCGCTGTATGCGGGGCGCAGGGGCGAGGAGGACACCGAGGCTGTCTCTTATACACAT